TCTGCATCCTTTCCTTCAAGGCTCAGGGGTCCAAGATTATCTTCTGTGTCTGTGTTAATTGGTTTCCCTTTTCTTTGTTGAAGAGGGTCTGTGCAATCCTTCTGCCTAGTCCGCCATCTTGCCCCGCCTCCAAGGATGTATTCTTGAAGACTAAGGTGCCCCTGACCCAAGCCATGGTGTTTTCAGTCACCTCTTATGCATGTGAGAGCTGGACAATGAATAAGGAAGACCGAAGAGTAGATGCTTTTGAGTTGTGGTTTTGGAGAAGAATGCTAAGAGTACCATGGTCTGCTAAAAGGACTAACAAATCTGTCCTGGAGGAAGTGCAGCCAGAATGCTCATTGGAAGTGAGAATGACCAGACTTTGTCTCACCTACTTTGGTCATGTTGTCAGAAGGAACGATCCCCGGGAGAAGGATGTCATGCTTGGTAAAGTGGAGGGTCAATGAAGAAGGGGAAGGCCCTCAGTGAGATGGATAGACACAGTGGCTGCAATGATGGGCTCAGGTATAGCAAGGATCATGAGGCTGGCACAGGACTGGGCATTATTTCATTCTGCTGTGCATAGGAAGACTATGATTCGGAGATGATGTGACAGCACCTAACAACAACAACAACATGAGTTAGAATTGACTCAATGGCAGTGGATTTGTTTTCTTGGTTTGAATGTGCCCAGGGAAAGGAAAACTGTAAACAGGACTTAATGAACACATGGCTTTGTCCCTGTCCCTATTAAAAAAGAGTATCAACTGAAAATCGCAGCAAACATCACATGTAATGAAGCCAAAAAGACACCTGCTCTTTGACCCAGTTTCACTCTTAGGCATGTGTCTTAGTGGAATGTGTCCCAGCATGCACAGGGAGACATGTGCAAGGCTTTTCATGGCAGCCTTTCATAACTGTCTAAAGTCAGAGTTAAACCAAGTCCATCAATAGTAGAGCAGCTCAATTATTTGGTGTCTAGTCATAAAGAGGAATATAATACAGCAATAGAACTGAATGGACCCCATGAATTTTACTTACTGTGGTAGTTCAGTTTGTGTGTCAACTTGGCTGGGCCTGGTTGAGTGGCTGGGCAGCTGGATATAGTAATCCCCATGATGAGACTGGTAATCAACACCATGGTGAAATCTACTGTGAGCAGCTGAGTAGCTGCCTTTGGGTATGTGGTCTGCTTCCCGTATATAAGCAGCAGCCTTGGGGAATGGTCTCTAGCTTATGGCACGCTTGGACCCTGCATGTAGCCGTGTCCTTGTTCAGCAGCCAGCCATGCTCTGCCAACCTAGGGACTTACAGTGGACTTGAATTAATGGCCTGCCATGTGGTTTGGTAACATCGGGACTGTGCCTTTTTATTTGTCAACCTTGGGCTTCTCAGCCTCAGCAGCCAGCAGCTGAGTGAAGAAACGCCTCTAGCTTCAGTGGGCCAGGAGCTGAAGGCAGAGCTGAAGCCCAAGGCTGAGGGGCTTTCACCCAGCCCCTAAAGCCTGGCACTTTGAACTCAGGCTTAAAACCTCTAAATTATAAGAATAAACTCCTGTGTGTTTAAGCCATCCCATTTATGGTATATATTCTTGTCAAAGCGGCACTAGGTAACCAGAACACTTACCTAAATTGAAAAAGGTATAACAAAAGAATACATCCAGTATTACTCAGTTTATAAAAATATATTTATAAAAATGTCAAAAGAAGGCAAACTAATCTGTATTTTTAAAGGATACACAAATCTGTGGTGAAACTATAAAAGATAGCAAGGGAATTGATATCATAAAAGTAAAGATAGTGATTACCTCTGGTCAGAATGGGGGTTGTGATAGGGAACTTCTGGCATTCCATAAGTGTTTTGTACTTTATTGATGATAGTTGATACAGAATGTACTTTATTTGCAAACTTTGTGTGCTTTATGCCCTTTCATATGCCTGCTATACTTCATAACACCGGTTTTAAAACAAATGCATTATATACCAAGTCAAAATAGTATCCCACTGTATAAACATTATCTAATTTCACCCTTGTAGCAAGATCCTGCCGAACAAGTATTATCCCATTTTATAGATGGGAAAACTGAAGTTCAAATGTCTAAGATTTTTATTTATTTTTTTTAAGTAGCTTGATAATTTGCCTAAAACATCCTAGCAAGCACAAGGGAACTCCCTCCTGAGGCTCTGCGCCCCAGCCATGCTCTTTCTAGGCTGTGCTCTGTAGCTGCTCAGTGTCACTGTAGCTCTAAACTTAAACTGCCCCATTCTTTAGCTGCTGAGCCATCCAACTTCACTAATTATCCCAACAACAACAACGCACTGCCATTGAGTTGCATAGCGACCCCTCCTTGGGTTTCTGAGACGGTATCACTATGGAAGTAGATTGCCCAACCTTCCTTCTGAGGAGTGGCTGGTGGGTTTGAACCTCCAGCCTTCTGGTTAGCAG